TGCATTCGCCATGCGTGCAGGTCCGAGTTTGACACAGGTATGTCGCCGTGCCCCATGGGCAGCGTTGGAGCCCAGTCTGGATTTGTTACACCCATTTCATATGCTGGTTTGCCTGCAATAATGCCAAATAATAATAAGCTACTCCGTCAACATGACGTGGTTCTGCAGCATCCCACATTAGGATGTTTTATCTAATGATCTATGACCTCAGCGCATTCAAAATAACACTAAAGCCTATTAAGAGAGATATGAATTTATTTAGAACTCACCGGAAAGAAAATGCCGCGAGCAATGCAACAACAAAAAAAAATTGGGGATGGCAGAGAAGTCGATATCCGCTCGTGTGAGCGCTGCAATCCAAGCCTGACGTCTTCGTTTAGTAATATCGGATACATGAGATAACTCCCGTTGCCTTCAGGAGGGGAAAGGATGAAAAGAGAGGCGATTTTCCAGCTTCTTGCCTTCCCTATGGTGTGATCTAAGGTTGCAACCGACAACACAGCTGGTAGGAAGCATAGCTGAGACTTCCGTGTGCTTTGTTTGGCCTGGTGTCATGGCGGGAGGGGGCGTGGGCCGTGACACGAAGCTCCTCCGCCCTATAGTAGACAGAGCGTGAGGGAGTTTAAGTTGGGTGATTAAAGTGGTTGGGTCCCATTTTGTTGTAGGCAAGAAACAAAACAAAACACACTTTTCTTTTCTGTTTTATTGAAACCACTTTCCAGAAAGTGTAATTGTTTCCAATGAAGAAAGAAGTAGGTAGGTTTCCATGTGTAATTAGTGTGTTATTGCAGAAGAAGCTTAATGTGTACTTTGTAAAAACAATGAGAAAAAAAGCTGGCTGAAGAAGAAATGATAAATGTCCTTTTTTTTCAAGCCTTCTCTGGCCGGCCGTTTGGCGTATGACATGTGGTGGAGGACTGCTGCAGAGCGCCCCTCACGAACTCAGTGCCACGGCCCTCGCTTGGGGGGCGGGGAGACGTGCACTGGCGTTTCCTTTTTGCTTTTTCCTGCTCCAGCCAAGTCCTCCGCCCGCTCTACATCTCTCTTATTACCCTTTATTACCTTACACTCATGCCTTTGCCTTTCACCACTTCAAAACTAAGCCTACTTCAATATTACCTTCATACGCTGGCTTTGCTTTTCGCCTTCCTCACGCTGTGTACTCACTCTTGCTAAGTACATGTGAACAAATCTTGAATAAAAAAACCCAAAACAAAACATACTTTTCTTTTCTGTTTTATTGAAAGCACTTTACAGAAAGTACAATTGTTTACAATGAACTGTACATGCAACACAGCAGTTTTATGAATATTCAACAAGAGCAAGTTACATTTGGCCCTGGTTTGACAACCACACTGGGGCACATATTCACCAAAACACAGCACACCTTGACAATCTTATCAAGCAGTGCTGTCTTCATCCTCACATGATATGAGTAATCGGATTGGCATTGTAGAAAAATGACACGCGAAGCTGTCAAACACTCTATTTAAAAACTATTAAAATAAGATATTTCTGCTGATGAATACACTGAGCTGGGTTATAGTGCTGTGGCTTATGTTGAAATCTGCTGTGCTGTAGGGGAACAGGCTGTGTTGTCTTGTTGTGTGCATGTTTGAGTTGTGTTTCTTTTGAGATGGTATATTTTTTTCTTAACAGAAACAGACTGTGTCCAGGGTGAGAAGGGTCAGCTGTGATCTGAGCTGCACGCCCCAGTGTCCTGGAGGTGTACAGGTCCTGCAGAGATGGGAGTTTGCAGCCAATCACCTTCTCAGCAGAGCGCACAACGCGCTGCAGTCTCTGTTTGTCCCTGATCAGTAGCGGTTTTTGATACGGGCGACACGGGCGGTTGCCCGGGGCGGCATCGTGGTGGGGGGCGGCATCACGGGCATCGGCAAAAAAAAAAAAAATTGCTCGTACTCATGCTGCCCCGACATCAGCCGGCGCATAGTGGGAATGGCGCAGGCACCGATCGGCTTTCTATCGCCCATTTGCTGGGAGTAAGGGCACCCTCCGTTTGCGAGGTGCGCCTGCTGCTTGCGGCACAGGGAGGAGAGGGCGGGGCGGCGGGGAGCAGCATCTAATAACCAACTCGCAAAATAAAACAAAATAAAGGCAAAACAACAAACACGAAAACACCAGACATTATGATACAGACTTATAATTTGCACCGATGTTTTTTCGAAATTCTATACACGAAAAGTGAGCGCGAGAGCACGAGAGCACGAGAGCCCTCGGTGCGCCTGCTCGCTGCTGAAGTCAAAGTAAACTTTATTGTCATCTCCGCTACATACAGTCCAGTATATAGAGAGACGAGACGACGAGGCTCCAGCTACAGCAGTGCAAGTAAACAAACAATAAATATAAGAAAAGTAAGAAAATAAATATAAAGGGTGGGCCATTTATATGGATACAGCGTAATAACATGGGAATGGTTGGTGATATTAAAGTCCTGTTTGTGGCACATTAGTATATGTGAGGGGGCAAACTCCTCAAGATGGGTGGTGACCACGGTGGCCATTTAGAAGTCGGCCATCTTGGATACAACTTTTGTTTTCTCAATAGGAAGAGGGCCATGTGACACATCAGCCTTATTGGTAATGTCACAAGAAAAACAATGGTGTGCTTGGTTTCAACGTAACTTTATTCTTTCATGAGTTATTTACAAGTTTCTGACCACTTATAAAATGTGTTCAATGTGCTGCCCATTGTGTTGGATTGTCAATGCAACCCTCTTCTCCCACTCTTCACACACTGATAGCAACACCGCAGGAGAAATGCCAGCACAGGCATCCAGTATCCGTAGTTTCAGGTGCTGCACATCTCGTATCTTCACACCATAGACAATTGCCTTCAGATGACCCCAAAGATAAAAGTCTAAGGGGTCAGATCGGGAGACTTTGGGGGCCATTCAACTGGCCCACGATGACCAATCCACTTTCCAGGAAACTGTTCATCTACATCATCCTGTAGCAATTTCAAATATCCAGTGGCCTTGAGGTTTCCATTGATGAAGAATGGACCCACTATCGTTGTGCCCCATATACCACACCAAACCATCACTTTTGTTGTTCCAACAGTCTTGGAGGGATCCATCCAATGAGGGTTAGTGTCAGACCAATAGCGGTGGTTTTGTTTGTTAACACCATTCACATAAAAGTTTGCCTCATCACTGAACAAAATCTTCTGCGTGAACTGAGGGTCCTGTTCCAATTTTTGTTTTGCCCATTCTGCAAATTCTGTGGCCGATCTGGGTCATCCTCTGAGATGCTGCAGTAGCTGGAGTTTGTAAGGGTGCCATTTGTGAGTAGCTAATATCCGCCCAAGGGATGTTCCACTAATGCCACTCGCCAGTGACATGCGGCGAGTGCTACGCTGTGGGCTCTTGCTGAATGAAGCTAGGACAGCCACTGATGTTTCTTCATTAGTGACAGTTTTCTTGCGTCCACATTTTGGCAAATCCAACACTGAACCAGTTTCACGAAACTTAGCAAGCAGTTTGCTGACTGTAGCATGGGAGATGGGTGGTCTCGTAGGGGGTCTTGCATTGAAATCTGCTGCAATGACCCGGTTACTGCGTTCACCAGATATCAACACAATTTCGATCCGCTCCTCACATGTTAACCTCTTCGACATGTCAATGGCTGTGAACAAAGAGAAACTTGTAAATAACTCATGAAAGAATAAAGTTACGTTGAAACCAAGCACACCATTGTTTTTCTTGTGACATTACCAATAAGTCTGATGTGTCACATGACCCTCTTCCTATTGAAAAAACAAAAGTTGTATCCAAGATGGCCGACTTCTAAATGGCCACCATGGTCACCGCCCATCTTGAGGAGTTTGCCCCTCACATATACTAATGTGCCACAAACAGGACTTTAATATCACCAACCATTCCCATGTTGTTACGGTGTATCCATATAAATGGCCCACCCTGTAGAAAAACCTGACTATATAACATTTTTGGTGGCATTGTGTATCCTTAGGGTAAAAAGAGACTCAGTTTTTTAAGAGTCATCTGAATGTTAAAATTTTTTTTACATTTTCCTTTGTTATCCTAAATGTTTATGTAGGAAAATGAAAAATGAGATCATGAGATGGCTACAAATGAATAAAAAGCAAATAATATCCTCAGGAAATGAGCTGTGGGTTTATGGCCAGGGGATATTATCTTCTGTATATGTAAATTGGAATAAAGTCAGTTGAATTCAGTTTTATTTACAGAGCGTCAAATCTCAGCAACAATTGCCTCAAAAACCAGTGATGTCTCTGTAGCTGAAAACCAGAACTTATGGTTACAAAACACCTCTTTGTTTGGGAAAAAGTTTTTATATACCATCCTCAGGCTGCAGTGGAAGTCTTGTACAAGACTAACTTGCTCTGTTAATATGTCTGTATGTGTGTACTGACCTCCCTAACAGAACATGAACATTTGGGTGTTTTTGCACAAACTTAATGTTTAAAGGTGTTTGTTTCATTGTATTTGGTCCTAATAGGAACTTTTAGGTACCTTTTCATTTTTATGTTATGTTAATGATTAATTTAGAGTCTCATCAAAGCTCTCTATTGGTTTTAGCTTAGTACAGAGTCCTGGTGCTATTTGTTCCGTCTGTACACACACACACCCTAAAGTTTAAAAATAAAACATAGGTAAACTTTAGCAAATATTCTTTCTTTCTTTAGTCTTTCTTTTTAAAGAAATATGTCTATTATATACAGTATCTGGGATATTTTTACATTTTCCAGTTTCTATTCCTGGAGGGTTTGTTCTGTCAGAGAACTTGTCTTTTGTATTTTATCAGGAGCACAGTACAAACAATGTTATTAGATCCTTTGAGGGCAGAGAGAAAAAAAAAAGCCTGTGTGTTGTGGCAATCCACTAGCCTACCTCCACTTCCTGAAAGCCCTTCCCAGATAATTGTCGCTGGGTGGGTGTGACCCTAAAGAATATCAAACAAAGACAAGAGTGGCTGATTGCTTGTCATATGGTGGGGGTGGTGGTGGTAAGGTGTGTGAGTGTGTTTGGGGATGGGGTGGGGGCAACGTAGGACTTTCCCATCTGTGTTCATATTCCACAGCAAACACAAGCAGTCAGCTGATGTGGAAAAGTTCCCTTACCTGTTCTATCTGGCTGTGAAAAGGTAAGCTTTTCTTTTACTGTGACCTTGAAATGTGACTAGCAAGCAAATTGCGTGTCTTCCTTTGAATATGAGTAATATTTCCAAGTTTTTGCTAGATATCTATTGTGTTTAAACTAGAACTGTGGGCAGGAGGAGATATTTGATCCAGGCTTTTCTGCAGTAAGTGATGTGGTTTGTAACGAATCGATTCTCTGTTCTCAGCAAGATCACAGTAAATCTGAGTTATGTGGTTTGCCTCCTTGAAATAAAAAAAATAAATAGCGGTAAGCTGTTTAAGAAGCTATATTTGTCTAAGGTCACTTAAAGGATCTGTATAGCATATCACATTTATAAAACCAGCATCTATGAAGAAGGGTAATGGCTTTGACTGTGAAATTATACTTTGACTAGAGGCAAATTTCCTAACCCTAATGTCACTTGAAACACTAAACAAACAGCTAACAGACCAAGCCTGAGCTAATGGGTGAACAAAGTCAGGTGATTTAAAAGTTTCATTTAGTTTTACTTTGACATTATTATACTCTTTTTACTTTTCTGCACATTTAATACATATTCTTACATTTTCTGTTAGTGCTGTGTTTATTAAAGATAAACTTTATAAATGTGTTAAAGTATTCAAAACTACTCTACGTTGATGACAAAACAGCACATTTAGAGATATGTGTTTGTAGCATGCAGGGTGAACATGTCATGCACACCGAATCAATTCTCAGTAGATTTCAGCTGAAGTATTTATAGAGGAAGTAACAACCGTAATGAAAACTATTGTCCCCTTATTGACTGGGGGTTATAATGCGAAGCCTCCTTAACAGTGTGCTAATATGGCTACAGGGAACTGTTGTAAAGATAAATGTGATGTAAGTGAATCTACAGTAGGTTTGTGAGCATTGACACAGTCAACAACGTTTTCTTTGTGAAAGGTTGATCTTCATAGGAGTATCCTGCCAAGGAAGGTCAATAGCCAAGCTTTATTTGCTTTACCTGAAAAACCCAGTAGGATATAACAGGTATGATGTTAGTTATCAACTCTCTCTGTTAAGCTGGGCTTTCTGCTGAGAGGTTTTGTGCAGGCTAACATTAAAAGAGGGTTGTGTTGCACAAAGTTTCAGCATCAGAATAAGCTGGCACTGAAGCTTTCTTAAAATGATCCCTGTGAATGCAGCCAACTCTAAACGGAGATGTTATGAAACACTGTTGAATGAAATGAAACCGTTTGGTGATGGCTTGAAATCAACTTTTCAGCTTCTACAGTAGAGAAGAGTAGATTACACAGTCCTTTTCAGAACTATCTTTGAAATTCACATTATTTTATTATGTGATTATCATCACCTTATTTGGACTTTATTAAAAAAGTGCTTTCAAAAGTAACTATATGTTGCCAAGTTGCAAGTGAGGCGCTCCTTGCCTGTTTCAGCACTCTTTCTTTCTGTGTTTAGAGAGGCCTTGTTGAAAAAGTGTGGGAGTGATCTCAGGGAAAGGATCAATAAGTCAATATTTGTTTTCTGAACAGATCTGTATGTAGACTTTAGTAACTGTAACATTTTACCATACTGCTGCCCATGTAAGGTAAAGGAAAGTGTGTGTGTGTGTGTGTGTGTGTGTGTGTGTGTATATATATGTATACATATATAGTATATAGTACTACATGACTACTAATATCATGACCTTTGCCTCTCTTTTGTTTGTATAACCTTTTGGCTCCCTTAGGGAGGAGGGATGTTTGACACACTGTATGAATGCTTCTGGTCAGACAGTCTATGGTTGCCTGTGGGCCTAACATGGGCTGACCTGGAAGACAAAGAGGGCCGGGTCTATGCCAAAGCCTCCAATCTTTATGTGACTCTCCCCTATGCCTTAGCCTTTTTACTCATCAGATACCTGTTTGAAAGGTAAGCTCCAAATTGTGCACCTAAACCACCTAACCCTGGTGGGTTAACACTTCACTTACTTGCTTTTCATTAATCGTTCATCGTGAACCATCAACAGTGTTTGCTGGGAGTAAGCACAAATGTAACCAGTCTTCCTGGTTGTGACAGGTGATACTGTGGCTGGATATAGTTATTGCTACTATAGTTCATTTTGTGTTGCTATGGAAAAATTCAGCTTTAACTTGGAGTGTGGCTCTGATAGATTTGATCCCAGCACAACCATCCAGCACAATCGCTACTGCACACCAGTGTTGGTCAAGTTACTTGAAAAAAGTAATCAGTAATTAATTACTGATTACTCCCCCCAAAAAGTAATCCCGTTACTTTACTGATTACTTATTTTCAAAAGTAATTAATTACTTAGTTACTTAGTTACTTAGTTACTTTTTAAAAACACAATTTACAACCTGAAGAGGTGATAAAGTGATAGATCTTTCAGCCCAATTCTACTTTTTCTACATAATCCATCATACAAAATGTAATCAAATGGAAAAGTCTCTTTTTTTAACTTGTTTTATCAGTTTTAATCTTTTAACTTTATGCATCAAGCAAAAATTTAATTATATGCAACATTCTCTGACTTGAATAAATTAGTTTAACATTTAAACCTATTTTCTACACATTCCAGCACATAAAATAAAATATTTTTTGTTTTTCACTCACTATTTCAAACAGATGCAAGTAAAACACAGCAGAAAATAAATAAAGTCAAAGACTCAGCGGTCCTTTTGCTCTATTTTCACCTGTAAAGCAGGAGCAGGGTAGGCGGAGGGTTACCCTGGTGTAGGTGTGCTGCGGTCAGTTGAAGAATCTGCGCGAGTTTCTCTGTGAGTTTCCCATTACGTCGTAGCTACTCGGTGCTTGTTGGAAGTTTAGGGGTTTTTTTCGCTGTAAAAAGAAGTTTTCTTCCCACGCACAGCGGACACTAATGTTTTTGTCACTTTTTATGGAATCAAACTCAAAGTAAGGTCAGTACTTCCACGCTTTAAACGCTGCACGCTCACACTCTCTCCCGCACTCGATATATTATCCATTGTTGATCTGCACACAGCTGCTGTCACCAACGTCGCACTTGCTTACGTCACTGTCATGAGACATTCTCGCAAAAAAAATCACGGTTTTAGTAACGCAGTAACGCAGCGTTCCTACGGGAAAGTAACGGTAATCTAATTACGGATTTTGCAATAGTAATCCCTTACTTTACTCGTTACTTGAAAAAAGTAATCAGATTACAGTAACGCGTTACAAGTAACGCGTTACTGCCCATCTCTGCTGCACACACACATAAAACAAAAAGAACAAAACAAACAAACAAATGTTGCAGCCACAGGCCTAACAAACAAAGCGCAGCCATGGCTACAGACAAAGTAACGGCCCAATATACCTGTTCTCCTTAAAATGTCATTTTCCATCATGTGCTGAATTTCATTTTGCTTATGTCTATGGTACTTCAGATGGATAGCAACACCACTTGCAGTTTCTGCTGGAATCAAGCAGAGAGTCTATCTGAAAGCTGAGGAAAATTCTATCTTGGAGTTCTACTACACTACTCAGTGTCGAAATCCTGCTCAGGTAAACCAAGTCACACACCTTTAGTCCTGACAATCAAAATGTTGTTGTTTACCTTTGGTATTGTTAGGTCTGAAAAAATAATTGTAATAATTGTAAAATAATCAGTTCTCGAGTATGTAGAGTGGGGAGCCGAGAAGGATTAGCATCTCTCCAGATGTCAATAAATACATATTATAATAATGCAACTTATTTTCCATTTTTGCTGTACTATATATGTGCTTTAGAAATTTCTAATTTGGATAGCCTTATATTCATGTCCCCTCCACATATCAGCATTGCTTCAGTTTCAGATCAGCTCAAACATGAGCTTATCGAAAGCCCAGTCATTCCTATAGTTGTGTATATATTGGGGGTAGTGGGTGGAAAACCATCAGTTCTCCATTTTACCAATACATATCGGATCTCCCTATCCCTTATATCAAATAAATATTCAAAACAGATCTGTTGTGATATTAAAATTGCTAAATCTCTACAGTGCCCAGATCTCTGTGATAATGAATAGGCATAGTAACAAAAACCTTGTTCTAGTTTTTTGTGTTCTTTATCTGACAAACGCGTCTGCTGTAGGAGGGCTGCACGAATCATTTCTTTCTTTACCTTAAACAGTATGTTGGACCTTTTTGTGGGCTGACTATTCTATTTACATTAAAGGAGAGGATATTAACAGTGTTTGCCATTTTTAAGATGGAACATTGTTGTCAAAATAAACATAACAATACCGCTTCTCCAAACTGCTCAGAACCACAGTTAACAAGATAACAATCAAACAGATAATAAGAAAATAAAACAGGATTTTCAGGTCTGTAAGACCTGATGTAATAAGTCAGGTGTGGGCTGACCCACACACTTCGGAGTGGGGCCCAGGATTAGAAGTCCTCCTCGCACAATTCTTCCACACTGCACATGAACCACTACTCCTTGCATCTCGATTAAGCCAAGGCAATAGTTCTAAATATTACACATTTGTCTTGTCTCATAACTCAGAAAGCGTGCAGTAATGGACCGAGTAGTGGGAGCGCTTTTCTCTTCATTCCCAACTTTATCCTTCGGTGATTTGTCACTTGAGTTTGGATTGTAGTTTTAATAGCTCCGTAACAGCATCCTGCATTGTTTGAATCTGCTCCTCCATGTCCAAAATATGATTATCTGCTTCCTTGAGTCTTGCGCTGGTTTTGCACACTTTGGCCTTAACTTCTTCAAACTGTTGCACATTTTCTTTTCCGATTCCCTAATTTCCATAAGTATCGCCTTAAATTGATGAGTTAATATTGACGTTCTCCTCCATTTCATTCTTTTTTGCTAGCATTAGCCCCAGCACTAGCCAAAATGTCGCCATCTTCGTTAGCTTCACTTTCTTCAGTATACATTGCAGTCATAGTTATCACCCTTCTCTTGGTTTTCACCTTGCCGTGTTTGTCATTCACCATAGCCCCATCCTAGTTAGCTTTTTATCTTGTTAGTATTTCGAGCCAGAAGCAGTAGTTCTACGTAGCTACCTCCACTGTGCGACCTGGAAGTCCTTTCTCCAGCACATTTAACACTATACAGTCCCCACTACTGAGAGACTAGTTGTTGCAGATGGGGCTGGACTCCTGGTGTCCTCAATAGCGAACCTCACACAGTTTGTGAGGCTGAGAGACTGCACCTCAGAGACCGTGGTCAGCAGCATTGGTGACCTAAAAATGCTCTCTCAGTGCTCTCTCCTGTCCTTTTTGCCCTGTACATGGCTGACTTCAGCTACAACTCTGCAACATGTCACATGGAGAAGTTTTCTAATAACACAGCTATAGTTGGGCATATCATGGATGGACAGGAGGGAGAGTATAGGAGCTTGATTGGACTTTGTAAACTGACGTAAGGTAGACTTCCGCAGGGCTAGGCATTCTGCACTACCTGTATCAATTGGAATTTGTCAGTACCTACAGGTACCTGGGACTCTGTCTGGATACCACACTGGACTGGTTAGTGAACATAGATATACTCTACAAAAAAGGGCTGGCTGAGCTTCCTGAGGAAATTGGGGTTGTTTACCATCTGCAGCAAATTCTTGTTTATATTTTACCAGTCAGTCATCACCAGTGTCCTCTTCTGTGCGCTGGTGTCCTGGTGAGGCAGCATCCAAAAGAGAAAGAGAGATGCCAACAGACAAGCTGGACAAGTTGTGAAGAAAGCTGGCTCTTTACATTGGTGGCAGGGAAAAGGACCCTGAACAAGCTGCTGTCCATCATGGACAATGACCAACACTTAATCTTCAACAAGCAGAGAAGCTAGTTCATTGGCAGACTCTTGTCACTCTACAGACATGCTAAGGAAGTCCTTTGTTCCAAGGACTATACATCTAACAAAGCAGTCAGGCGCAGGGGTAAGGTGGACTAATGGGCCCCTTCACAACCTCGCCCATACACACTCAAGGACTGTTCATTTTTGCTGGTCGTACATTTCTGGTGGTTAGACTGTCATTGCACTACAGTTATTTACTTATTTCACTTATTTTGGGATAGTTCATCACTGCTCCACAGCTATTTACTGTATTTTAGTTAGGAGGCTAGGTTTGTACAGCTCTTGTACAAATGCTTGTCTTTTTTTTTTTTGTAACTTGGTGTAGCCAGTTTGCTTTCTGTTAGTGTATTTGGTACAGTCGTCCCTCATTTGTCGCAGGAGTTACGTTCTAAAAATATTCCGCGATAGGTAAAATCTGCAAAGTAGCCAACTTTATTTTCTACAGCTATTATAGATGTTTTAAGGCTGTAAAACCCCTCACTACACACTTTATACACTTTTCTCAGACAGGCGTGAACATTTTCACACTTTTCTCTCTTGTTTAAACTCTCAAAGTTCAAACCTTAGTAGAAAAATAAGTCCAGTATTAAAGAATGAAACCAAAGGCACCCACAGGGGCCTCTGACAGTGCAAAATCCAGCCACAGGAGACACGGCACGAGATTGATTGACAATTGTCTACAGCCGATCAGGACGCAGAACACAATGCGAAACAGTGAGACCGTGAAAGGTGAACTGCGTTATAGCGAGGGACCGTATATGTGTTTGTGTTCAATAAAGTATCCCTCTACCTACCTACCAACCACCCCTCCCTCTTGATGCATGTTTTTGATGCAATCTCATGTTCCTGTAGAGAGTGGGAACATGAGACCAGACCAGATCTGAACCATGGACTTTCTTGCTGCAGTGTGTACCACTCCACCACTGTGCCACCTTCATTATGAACAAATGTCCAAATATAACATATTTGTTTTAAACTGTACTGGTTTGAGTCAGCGGACATGCACATTTTCCATAAGTGATGTACATTATTAACAGATTACCAAATCACGACAAATTACATCGATACATTTCTGGAGTTCTGCTGACTGCAAGCTACTGTTTCTCGCAGTGAAAGTCAAGGATGTCTCAAAGCTTGCGGATATATTTCTGCTCTTTAATTACCTTCAACAGCCTGAAGTGTGACTCCACACTTTCCAGCGTTTGTTTGCAAATGTGCCTGAGAGATTCCTGCAGTTTTGACAAAACTACATTATTTATGTATCTGAAACGAGCGGGCTAGAGATATACATTTAAGCACCTACACGATACACATATGTAAACAAACATGCATGTGTTTTTGTGTCTGTCTGCATGTGTATTTAATACCAGGTTGACATTGATGGGTTGTCTAAGAAAAGCAGTCTGTCCACGAGACAAGTGGAGTGCTGGTTTAGAAGAAGACGCAGACAGGACCGCCCTGGAGTTCTGAAGAAATTCACAGAGGCCAGGTTACTACGCTCTGCTTTTGTGAGTGTGTGTATTTGTGATTATTCTGATATTAACAGCAACTTTATTGTGTCCCAACAGCTGGCGATTTGTTTTCTACCTGTCTGCATTTATTGGAGGAATGGTAGCACTGCATGATGTAAGTAACATAACCATTTCAACATTTTTCCAACTCAAGGCAGTGATGGTTAAATGATTAAGTCTCTTTACTCATTAGGCTTTTGTCTGAACAGCTCTTTATAAGTTAACATTTCACCACTCTTCTTTATTTTGCATTACCTGTACAAATATAATACCTTTTTTTTCTGCAGAAAGAATGGCTTTATGATACTAGGGAAGTATGGACAGGTTTTCCCAAGCAGGTTTGTTGCATACTCTCCCACACCACATGCCATAATCATCAATCAATCATCAAGAGCAAAAACACAGAAAACCACAAAACCACTGAGGAAACATACGGAAAACACAGGCAAGGGCAATAAAAAAAAAGAGTAAAAAACAAACTCAGAAAAAAAGAACTCAGAATTCTAACAATTATCCATCATCCAATGGGATGATGGATAATTGGATCCATCATCCAATGGGATGATGGATCCAATTATCCAATCATCCATCCCACGCTACTTATAGATGTCCATCTAACATCCGGTTAGGTCCATAGATTTTTGGGCATCACACATTTTTGTAATTTCTCTTCTGTACACCACTACAGATGTGAAGTTCAGCAGACATTCAGACAAAGCAGACGATACATTTATTTATTTTTGCAATCAGTACAAACTGAAAAAACAGGGCTATACTTTGTGAAAGGATTGTAAACCTGCCATGTTTCTTGCCATGTGGGACTTTAATTACTAGTACTCAGATTTCCTTTTCTTTCAGTGTTTAACAGAAGCATCAACCTGTACTAGCATTTACGTGGAAAGCTGCAAATTGGTGTAAACAATAGATTCCTCTGCAGCTTATTTTTAGCCTTAAGGTCTAGGGGAAAAAACAGAACCTTATGGGACAAACCTTTTGTCTGTATAACTGATTATAATTTTGTCCCATCTTCTTGAATCTGTCTCTTTGTCTCCCTGTCTGCAGACCATGCTAGAGTCTCAGTACTGGTATTATATCTTGGAAATGAGTTTCTATGGCTGTCTTCTCTTCAGTGTTGCTTTTGATGTCAAGAGGAAGGTAAGTAGTGGTTCTTAGAGACCACAAACTTCAATTAGGTTCATTCATCTGCTTTCTTTTTTTCTTTACATAATATGTAATGTATAATTTTAACCATTTCTAAATATGTGAAAGAGTATTAGTATTAAAAAAGGTAATATTATTTTTTCGAAACTTCAGGCTAATATTAATATTTGAATCTCAACAATACAATACTCAACAAATGCAATTATACATACTGCTCAAGAAAATAAATGAAGACAGCAGACTCGTACTCGTATAGACTGGGTAATTTGTTGGAAAGGATGCTATATTGTTGAAACTGAAATTAAAATGATTAGCCTACAGACACCTGAATTCAAAAGCAGAGAATCAAATTGAAAAAGCGACAGCGGCAGGCTCGTCCATTTCCCAACATTTAATTGCAGCAACTCAAAGTGGTGCTCAGTGTTCCTGCGTCTCTGGATCTTTGAGTTTGTTGTGGACTCGCGATTCTTTCTGCTGCATCTAAGAGATGACTTAAGTGCTAACTCTGTATAGTTTAGTTTTCTCTGTTGGGTCTGCGTTTATTTCTAGTTTCTGGTTTTTGTTATTCCTAATCTCATCCATGTGTCTTGCCATCAGCGTCTCCTTTGTAGTCAATCTTTTCTTGGTGTCACAAGTTCACTTTCTGTTTCCTGTTTTATTCTGATAATCTCTTGTCTTGTCTGCCTTACGCTCAGTTGTATTGTTACAGTTTTATATATTACACTTCTCTCTCTGCAGTGGGGCTATGAGTTGTGGTGAGAACTACTAGGAAAGGTTTTTGTGTGTCTGTGTGTGAGGTTAAGCACAAGCAATGTCCAAATGTCCACAAATTTAAATCAGTGTATAAAGATGTGGTTTTTATGCAGTACAGGGATGAGGGCAGCATTAAGCTACAAGAGGTCTTTTCAATATAGATATTTCTAGTGTGGTAAATTATCATTGTTATATAATGTATTACATATACTCAGGAAGCAGCTGCTCAGCTACATGACTGAACTATAAATATCTGAAGGGGGTGGGAGTACATAAGTGTTATTTCTTCCCACTCCTCTTCAAACACCTGTTTCACTAGAAGACAGACCTAACCAGAAGACCTCACCCATACCTGGGTATCACTCAGCTCCTCCATGAGGTGCAACCTGGCAGTGTTGGATAAACTGAAACATAATGCCTCAAAGGTGTTCTATTGGACTTAGGTCAGGCAAGCATGGGAGCCAGTCAGTGGTATCAATTCCTCGATCCTTCAGGCACTGTCTGCATACTCTCACCATTTGAGGCCAGGCATTGTCATGCACAAGGAGGAACCCAGGGCCTACTGCACCATGACTTAGTTCAGGAGGTATGGGAGGTTTGGAAGTTTGGTGGTTTGATCGATGGCTGCTCCAGTCTGCCAAGCCAAGTATACTTGGGCAAGATACTAACCCTAGGTTGCTCTCCGATGCATCCACATGAGTATGAATGTGTGTGAATGTTAGATAGAAAGCACTTCTGTGGAGAAATAAAGCATAGAAAAAAGTGCTTGTATAAATAGGTGTCAATTGATAAATGAGGCAAGTTGCATGAAACATTTTGTGTGCTCAGACAGAGTAGTAAAGTGCTATATAAGAACTAGTCCATTTACCGTTTAGCCTGTAGAGGTCTGTTTGTCTCTCCATGGATATTCCTCCCCACACGATCGCTGATCCACCAGCAAACCAGTCATACTGAACGATGTTACAGGTAGCTCAGGTAGTGTTCTCCACTGCTTCTCCAGACCCATTCATGTCTGTCACATGAACCTGCTCTAATCTGTGAAAAACACTGGGCACCAGTGCAGGACCTTCCAATTCTTGTATTGTATGGTGAATGCCAATCGAGCACCATGGTGCTGGGCAGTGAGCACAGGGCCTTCAGGCCACCCTCATGAAGTTTGGTTCTGATTGTCTGGTCAGAGACACACACAAGTGGCCTGCTGGGGGTCATTTTGTTGGACTCTGGCAATGCTCTTCATGCTCCCTGCACAAAAGAGCAGATACTGGACCTCCTGATGGTTGAAGACCTTCTACCAGGGCTCCTAGAGTAACAGCCTATCTCCTAGTATCTCCTCTCTTGAGACTTTGCTAGGAGATACAGCAAACCTTCTGCCAATGGTACATATTGATGAGCCATCCTGGATGAGTTGAAATATCTGTGCAACCTCTGTAGGGTCCAGGTATTGCATCATGCTACCAGTAGTGATACTTATCCTAGCCAAAAGGAAGTAGCAGTGAAAAAACAATCCGAACAGATGTGGAGGGAAAAATGTCAGTAGCCTCCACTTGTAATACCATTGCTTACTCATTTCCTTCGGGGTCAACCTTCAGGATCAATAAAGTTTTATTGAATTGAATTGTTTTGGAGGTTGTCTCATTGTTGCTCCTCTTGAAACCGAAGAAGCTAAAACTGATTAACAACCCCATTTACTACCTTACTGACCAAATCAATATTCCAGATGTTTAACTGACATTCTAATGGAATTATTTGAATCGCTATCTGTACAAAATGAACATACGTAGTACTAAGAAATGATCGTGAGAGAAAGGAAAATCTTACAGAAGAGAGTGGGCATACATGAAAGCTAAACAAACAATTAAACCTTACTTTCTGTGTCTTACTGTCTGCATTTTAAAGAGTTCACTTCAACTGAAAATAAGATGCTATCCTTCATAGAAACAGCAGGCTTGGTGAGAACAGATATCCAGCCACACTGATGGACTGATATAATCTTGGCATTTTGGGTGCAGAGCTACTTTAACTGATCAGTCATAGCAACATGGCAAAGAAAACAGTCCAAGCATCTATTCAATCTAATTTTATTACCTTTAAGACTCGGTGCTTGGTCCCTTTCTTTCCAGTACACACTATAGCCCTTCTGAAGACATATGAGTTGTCTTATCAATGCTACCTGTTGTAGAGAAAGATAAAAAAACAAAACAAAATAAAACATGTTTAACCTATTGTGATCAGGCATGTGAAGAAGTTTCCCTTTCTTTCTAATACATGAAACCTCCTGACAGGGTTTTAATAGTTTTGCAATTTTCATTAGTTTTTATTTTTATTTAGTTTTGACTTCAGATTTTCAAATTTATATCAGTTTTAATTAGTTTTTACCATTTGTTTGCTAGTTTAGTTTTTTTTTTTTGTTTTTTTTTAGTTGTTTGCAATAATTAAGTGTAACAAAATCCCAGTTTCATCATATCAGTCATGCTCTTCTGCTCATCCTTGGGTATGTTGCTATTCCAGCTGCCATACCCTGCACCCTGGACAGGTCGCAGGGCTAACACGCAGAGACAGACAACTCACATTCCCACCTATGGGGAACCTCTGGGTTCTTAAAAAAAAAAAAAGGCCAGATGAACAACCATTGATAGCAGGCAACTATAAAAGATAAATCTTGGCCCCAATGAGACTATTAACTTTTGCAGCACCAGGTGTTCGTAATTTTGGTTCAAGTGAATTGCTAAACTTTTTGAAGGCAACTGACTCACACAGTTGTGTAGATGTCCCCGTCTCAATAAACATATTCATCAACGCTTCCTCTCGCTTGTGATGTTCCTGCAAATTGACCAACCAGCAGCCATCGGCTCACTGTTGCAACCACTGCATTAATGTTTTTTGTGGAGTTGTCTCGGGATGCATCACGCTGCCTTGCCCGGGGTTAGCTTCTGTTTCTGGGGATGAGGGTTGAGTGTGCTCCCTTACCTTCTCAAGGTAAGCTAGGTTAGCCTTCTTGTGCAAGCTTTTTTTTTTTTTTTTTTTTTTTTAAATTAATTAATTAATTAATGAATTTTTATTGTATATATGTGTGAGCTTTTCAAGTGCACTTTAAGGTTTGTGGGATTTTTTTCCCCTTTAGAAATGTCCCTCATAATTTGTCTCTTTCCACTACAAGACACTTGCTTTATCCAAAACACAGTCATATTCAAAGTAATCCCAAATTGGATTCGACTAACGTGCTGCCACCTGCTGGCATAATGTGACACAGCAAGAAAAAACCCTGAAAACTACACTTCATTTTCACCCTTGACTATTGTAGGACACGCACACATCAATGAAAACTAAATACATTTTCGCTATAAATTTAGTTAATTTTAGTTAGTTTTGTGAACACTCATTATAGTTTTAGTTGGTTTTCATTTTTTTGCAAAGTCTTGTTTTTATTTTTATTCCCGATAACGAAAATGATTTGTTCTAGTTGTTATTTCGTTAGTTTTCGTTAACGATAATAACCTTGCCTCCTGTTAATTAGATTCTGTTGGAGTGTACAAAGATAACTATTAGACTGCAGGAAATGGGGAAAAAGTTCTTCCTGTCTTTTATGGTATTTTTTATATTTCAAATCAAATCAAATCAAATCACTTTTATTGTCACATCACATGTGCAGGTACATTGGTACAGCACATGTGAGTGAAATTCTTGTGTGCGAGCTTCACAAGCAACAGAGTTGTGCAAAATACAATAATGTAAACAAGCAAAATACAAGAATGGCTACATCTGAAACTAATAAATATATGTACATATTTAATGGTATTATTATAATTGATGCATTCTGAAACTTGTTCCACTATTATGAAAAGTGTAAATAACGTTAGAAATGTTTATTTATTTATTTATTTTAACTTGGCAGAGTCAGCGCTGTTTTCTGCGTCATGACTTTCTGTATTTCTCTCTCTCTCTCTTTGCTTTTCTTGTCCTTCTGTCATTTAACAACATGTACCTTTTTTTAATATGCAAACATGATTTGTGATGAAACAGTACTCCCTGTGTTGATTGGAGTTTTCTTTGTGTGTTTTTGTGTGTTTCTTATCTCCATCAGGACTTTAAGGAGCAAATCATCCACCACTTGGCCACTCTGGTCCTCTTGTCCTTTTCCTGGTGTGCCAACTACATCCGTGTAGGAACACTGGTTATGCTTATCCATGATGCTTCCGATGTTTTCCTAGAGGTCAGTCTCGGCCACATGTTTGGTGGCCACATGAAGGTATAGATTAACCTTTAGTAACTGGACACTGCTTACAGTTCAAAATAAATCCACCTGGTATTGCAGGTAAATGAAAATAGTTGTGACACAAAAGGAATCTTAGCTCAAAAACGAGCAGCATGGGTAAAAATGAGACCTCACCTAAGCAGTAACGTATTCTGAACAATGACCACATGGTGATATTTTTCAAAAATACACTTTTTGAAGTTTTCTCTTGTGAATTGTCAGAAAGCAGATAAAACATGCAAAGTGCCAATACCTGTTTCTGTTACTTTGTGGTGTGCCACATATTAAAGAAAAGAAAATATTTGAGATCTAGAATATGATGGAAGTGTTTCTACTTCACTGAACCCTTTTCACTCTCCACCAGTCGTGGGAGATGGCTGACCTGGTTCTGCCAGAGGTTTCTTCCTGTGAAAAGGGAGTTTTTCCTTCGCTGTCACCAAGTGCCTTCTCATGCGGGTCAACTGATTGTTGGGACTTACTGGGTCTTTATCCTACATAAAACCTGCTGTGTGTATATGTGTGTTGTTAATTAATGGTAAAACTCATTTTTCTTTTAGTCTGCCAAATTATTCAACTATGCCAAATGGGAGAAAACCTGCAAAACTCTCTTTGTTTTGTTTGCCATAGTGTTCATGGTAACACGACTGATCATCTTTCCATTTTGGTAAGCCGATAAATAAGACTTAAGTTGTGTGTTTTTTTCTTCAAATTAAGTCTAAAGTAAGCAGTGGACTAAGTTTATTGGTCTTTGTTCATTCATACTCAAGCAGATTTCCTATACATGTATTACATTTAGTATGTAACAGATTTTTACATTTTTGATATGCTTGTGTTTCAGGCTGATCCACTGTACTTGGGTCTACCCTGTTCTCTATTACCCTGCCTTCTTTGGTTACTACTTCTTCAACACAATGCTGGTGGTCCTGCTTTGTCTGCACATTTTCTGGGCCTACCTCATTCTACGCATGATCAGGAAATTTATGTTTGGCACAGTAAGTCTGCTGTGACAGTATTTATCCACGTCTCTCTTTACACCCCACACTCCTAAAGAACACCCACAGGATACTCAGAGGGCCATAAAATACATGTGGACTGGGTGGGCAAACTCGAACGTCCTTGAGATGATAAAGAGCTGGCTCAGTGTTCCCCAACCAGAATTAAAACATGTACCCTGCGTTCAAAGTTTGACTAATGAACAAACTCTGCGATGTTGCAGAGGCATGTCAACCAAGACAGCCCTACAACATCCAGAGCCTTCAAGAACTCAGGTAAAGGCCAGACCATCAAGTAGGTTTTAAGTACCTTACTGACCTAGTTTCCCAGTGATGTAAGAAAGCTAATAAAACATGCAATTTTCAATGAAATACTCCAAACATACCACAAACATGGTTCAAAAGGTTAGTTAGTAACTCAAACCAACACGCCTAGCAAAAATGGATCTTTTAAATAGCAGGTATGTGGTTCTTTGCATCCTATAAATGCAGATCACTCTTACGTGGTAACTTTAAAATGCATCATTTCGTCCAAATATGTCACTACGTTGTTAAAAAACCTGCATTGTGATGAGCAAAATGTTAATGTCCAGGCTTCAAAATGCTCAACAAAGCTTTGTGTTTTACATTGAAAGGAAGCCAAACTGCTACCCAGAGTTCTCTGCTGCATCTCAGATTTCAAATCTGCTTTCAAGTAGACATTTTGTCCTCTTTGGCGGCTTTTTTCTAAATACAGTCTCCGTTTCTGTTGATTTTCCCATCATGTTTTTCATTCTGTATTTTTACTGTAATCATTTCATTCAGCTAACCAAAGATGAAAGAAGTGACAATGAAGAGGAAGATGGGGACGAAAGCAGCTCAACACAGGATGAAGTTGAACAAAGGCACAAGCCTGCCGGATCACTGGTGGCTGATAAGAAGTATGACAAGAACGGAGGGTCTAGATCCTTATCTCCACCAGAGAACATCTGCTGGTCAAAGACTGTGTGCTGACTCGTATTCACGACTCTGAGTACAGGAGAATAATCCTGAAATAGACTTTGTGTTTTGCTTATCAAAAAAGTCCAGCGAGCCAAACATATCACATATACATGCATTAAGTAACACAGCCCAACTGTTGCCCTCCACAGACAAGAAAGCTACACTTAAACATTGTTTTCAGATTTTGAAACTCAAAAAGCTCTGACTATGCAACAGAATTCGAGTTTGAAACATGCCTCATGTGAGCAAAACAGACTCTTACACAGAGCACCTCTGCAAAATCGTGCTGTAAATGTGTTTAAAGCTATTTTAAAACAAAAAATCTGGAGAATATCAGGAGAATCAAGTTCCACAATTTTACCTTTCTTACATGCAGAATACATTAGGAATAGCCGAATAAAAACCAGTTTAGGATAGTGTTAAGACAGCATATCGAATGCAGGAGGCACAACAAAAACAGAAATCAGGGAAGAAGCAGGGAGCTGAAAAATTGAAGATTCAGAGCTGTATTTATGTCTGAAAACAACTTCAACACGAACACATGACCAGGTTTAGATGTTTTCAGATTTAAGTTAATTATTTTCCCTTCTTAAATGTATCTATTACAATCCAGTTTTCTATTAGACTTTGCAATACCTGCTTTGGTCAACCACACAAAGATTGCATTATAACAAAAAAAGTTTTAAAATGATTCCCATATTCAACTTTTTTTTATTGTACTGGTACTGTGTTTTTAGAAAGCATGAATAGAATGCTGATAATGAGCACATTTGTATCACATTTTTTCTTTTCTACCAAAATGAAACCTGTTTGTTTCCATTCCAAAGTGAAAAAAAAGAAAACAACCAAACAAACCACTCCCACTAACACTTGGAATGATGCTTAAACTTGGGTTGATAACTGCAGTAACTGTCACTGACCAAATCAACTTTGACAACTGTCAACTTCGAATCCTAGCATGTTAGGTATTCATTCAAAACACAGAGAAATCCCACAGTCACCTGATTATGGTCATAACAACATTTTAGTGTAAGTTTACAAGATGAGCTGTAGGGAAAAAGTAGCATCCTTGTTGCCTCTATCAGCTTTTCAGATGTCATGGTCTTCCTGGAAACATAAGCAGCAAGTTCACTGTCTGAAAGAGGCAAGTTACAGAAAAGCAGATGAGTTTTGAAGCATGTGTGCATTAGTAACTCAGGGGAACTGAAATAGTTTGTTTGGGACTGATGTTTTACTTCTTTAATTTCATTTGTCGTCTGTCTTTTTTTTTAACATCTGGTTCTTATTCAGCGTGACAGTAAGACAACAATGCCACCATGAGGCCAAAGAGAAGCATCGTGCTACTTGTTGCTGTTTCTCCAGTGACTAAAAAAAATAAAAAGTGTTATAGGTTTTAGACAGCAAAATGAAAAAGCTTTTTTTTTATTTATATGGTCAAAACCCAGTTGTGAGGTATTGTCATTGTCACATTTGTCACAATTTCACCCCAAACCAGAATTTGTCCATAAACTGTTGTGTTCGTTTTCTTTTCTTAAAGGAAGTACATCTTTTAAAAGATGGAATTCGCTTCAGCAGTTGAAATTATAACTTACAATGTGCTGGACCTTGATGTGAACCAGCAGTCTGCTCCACAAAAAGGATGACCCTTAAAGCAGGCGATACAGTTTTATACTACAACAAAAACAAGTATTGATACGTCCTGTACTTCATTCTCCTCTTCCTCTGCCCATCAAGTTTGTTTTGTGCTGTAGCTCTAATCATATCGCTGTCACATCTGTACCCTGGACTGTTTTTTGACATTTGTTGACTATAGTATTCATAGTGTTCTGTATTGTTCAAGAGAGCATCAGCAAACTTGTTAAATTAAATTTCTGGACATTGAAGATTACCTGGCTGATCAGCTGCATATCAGTGTTACTGTATAATGTCAGGAGCCAATGGGCTTTCCAAGTGCAAAAGAAAAAAATCTGATAAAGTTTACTCTTACATTATCCACATTGTGTAAGAGAATTATTATTATTATTTTATTGTCACTGTTTTTCATTTCAAAACTATTTAATTCTATATATTCTATATAATTCTAGGACACATTTCATTTACCTGATCTCACACATATACAGTGTTTTTAAAAGCTCTTTTCCTAACTTTCTCACACATGCAGTAATACTTGCAAAGCAATGGGGTAAATAAGGGTTTTAAGTATCCTTGGGCGAGATATTTAAATCTATTGCAGGAGCCGGGGATCATTTCTGCAACCTGTGGCTCAGTTGACCCACTCAGGTGGCACAATGAGTTTCTGAAAAAAATATTACTTGATTTGAAAAATCTCATTCAGAATGAAAATAAAATGATGAGTTTCTGCCTTTAAGTTCATTAATACTTTTTCAGGGAAATTGCTCTGACTCCAACTCTGAGTTCAGCTAACAGCAAATCCTACTAGACTTTGCCCTTTTTGGGGGTGGAGGGTGTTAAAAACAACTTCCTGCTCTATTTGTTTTGTCAAATCTGGATGACCTCTAATTTCCTGCTTTCAAATTCAGATAAAACTGGGTTATTGTAGCTTTCAGTTTGGATTTGTGAGACTGACACCATCTCTACTTTCACAGTTTTTCCCCATTGTTTGACAGGCCACTGTACTGTCTGTAGTAAGTGTAACACAAAACAAAAAAAGGCTTACAGTAGTCATTATGATGACTGGAGAAGAAATGGTCATAGTATTTTACATTAAGCACATCAGTGTTCAACTGGTGATGGGTTGTGTGTGTCATTTGAAAACAAAATACCATTTTGAGAAGAAATTACATTCTCCAAAAGTTGGTTCTGTTCATCTGGACGCAGCGTTTTCAGTGGGAGAAACATTTCATCATCATCAGGTGACGTCTTCAGTCTCAGCTGACTGCAGGTTTCACCCTTATAAACAGCACATTTGCATAATGACTGAAACCAGCGAATGAAGGAACAATGGGCTGAGAGGTCAGTTCCTTATTCATAATTATGCAAATTCTCATGACCATTGATCAACAAAGCCCACTGATCAATGGCCATGAGTCCCATTCACAGAGAGTTGGGGAATGGCTGCAATCACAGCAGTGTAAGATGGTGACAGATGTACCCTTAGGCCCCTCCTCCATTCAGAGATGGTCTTTCCCTTTTCACGTAAATGGCCTCCTTGACTCCGCCCTCAAACCAGCGTTCCTCCCTGTCCAGGATGTTACATCCTCATCATTGAAAGAGTGTCCACTGGCCTGTAGGTGTAAATAGACTGCAGGTGACTCTTCTGTGTTGCCAGAGGTTGTTTGGTTTCCCCGACGTATAAATCCTGGCACTCCTCCTGCACTGAACAGCGTACACTATGTTACTCTGTTTGTGTCGGGGGACCCGATCCTTGGGGTGGACCAGTTTTTGGTGCAGCGTGTTTTGGGGTTTAAAAGCCACAGAGACCTGGTGTTTAGAAAAAATGTGTCTCAGCTGCTCCTATAGTCCTGACATATACAGGATCACTACAGGTTTTCACTTGGGCGGCGGTTGTCCTTTTCTCCTGGATCAGCTGGAGCTTTCTTCAGGTGGGATAACCACATTTACTCAGGGCCTTCTTGATGTTCTTCTGCCTCCCTGGCTGCTGTGTCAGTGGGGATGGTGTTTGCTCTGTGTTGTAGCGTCCTGATGACACCCAGTTTGTGCTCCAGTGGATGATGAGAGTCAAACCTTAGATACTGATTCGTATCCGTAGGTTTCCTGTACACATCAGCTTTAGATGTCCCCCATTACTGATGGAAATCTCACAGTCTAAGAAGGCTAACCTGCCTCTGTTCATATCCTCCCTGGTGAATTTGATGTGTCGGTCCACCGAGTTAATGTGATCCGTGAATTGTGGTATGAGATTTGATTTTCACCCTGGTGTCATCCACATACCTGAACCAATGACTTGGTGTTGTTCCAGGGGAGGATAGCAAAGCCCTCTTTTCCACTTCCTCCATGTACAAATTGGCCACGATGGGTGAAACTGGGGAGCCCACGGCACACCCATGTTTCTGCCTGTAGGACTGACCCTTGTATGTGAAGTAGGTGGAATGAAGACACAGTTCAAACACACTTGGTCGATGCTGAGAGCAGTCCTGTTGCTGAGGTTGGTGTCATCCTGTAATCTCTTACGAACTACCTCCAACACTTCCGTGACTGGGATGCAAGTGAAGAGAGATGTAACGTCGTACGAGACCATGGTTTCATCTGCCTCCATAATGACATCTCTCACCTTCTCAACAAAATCCAGGGTGTTCTGGATGTGGTGCTCAGAGTTGCCCACCAGCGGGTTGTGTCACGGTCCTGGGTCTTATGACCCAGTGTTTTGAGTTTCAGTTCTTTTGATGCTGTTAGTGTATGTTCTAGCTTATTATGTTTCCTATGTGCATCTGTTTATCAGTTCCCCCTTGTATTGTCATACCCTGTGAAGTCTCCCTTGCCCTTCGCTTCGTGTGTTTCTTATCTATGTGTCTTATGTTGTCAGGTCTGCGTTTCATTAGATTTCCTGTTTTATTTTGAAGGGTTCCTGTGTCCCTAGGTTCGATGTTGTTAATGTTATGCTCCCCTTGTCACGTCGTTATGTTCATGTGTGTCAGCTGTTTCCCTATGTGTTCCCACTTATTTAATTATTATTTATTTGCCCCTTATTTAAGTTATGTGTCTTGTTTATGGAACCTCACTTTTAGAGATTTTATGATCCCCCTTGTCGTCTTTATTTCTGTTCCTTGTTTTTCATTCTTTTTTTATTGTTATTTATTTTTGTATTGGTTATTCGTCTTTTTATTTTATTATTATGTAGATGTGTGAATATGATTGTGTATGTATGCGCGTGTATATACATATATATGTATATATATGTGTGTGTGTGTGTATGTATGTTTACTTTCAGTTATTGTCGATTTCATTGTGGTGTACAGGAGATGTGATTCTGTTCTGATTGATTTGTGGCTTGTCTCTTTGAGATTGTCATTGTTATTGTTCTAAATAAAGTTCATTAAAAAAAAAACGGCCCTAGTCGATAGTGGCTACGTCATCAGAAGTATGCGCGCGCACCCTTATACGTCGTCACTGTTTAACTGTGAGTATAAAAAAACGCAGTGATGATGACGTTCCAACACTCGTGGGGGCAGCAACGTGGCAAAAACGAGGACGAAGTACGTTTAAAATACAAACGAAGAAACATGTTCGGTAGTGGTGTCCACCACAGCTTTACTGTAACGTTTACGGATCTTTTACGGTTCAGGGCCGTCCTGATTTTACTTCGTTTACTCGTCACAGTGCCAGTCTTGTGTTGATAAGCCTGTTAGTGTTTAATGTTGGGACAGTTGCATGAAGCAGAATAGATGTCGAAATCCCGCCTGTTACACAACTCGGCACCAAAGGTTTTGCCAGTAGACGTGCTCAAACGCAATGTAAATCATCTCTTTTCCTTTGGCTTAATTAAATGTTAGAATGGCCGCATTGCGAGCAGCAAAGCAAGCCCTGAGGAAAGAAGTAAAGCGACGGGTTGCCACAGTGACGGACGACGAGAAACGACGGCAGTCTCTGGTCGTTTCACAGAAGGTAAGGAAATGTTCATGGAAATGTTCATGGAAACCAGTCTGTGTGTCTCAGATGTTGCATCCCCAGATTCTAACATTTCTGCGAGTATTATAAAGACTTCGCCGAAAAAGAAGATTGCCATTTTTACATATATGCAAAAACATGTGTATACAGATGTGGCAAAAGCACAGACATGCTGTACTTAAGTAGAAGTAAAGATGCTAGTGTTAAAAAACGATTCCAGCAAAAGCTGAAGTACTTATTCAACGTCTTTACTGAAGTAAAAGTGAAAAGGTGCAAGCTCTGAAATGTACAAAAGTAAGAAAGTTTAAAAAGGACACTTCCACCAACTACTTTCACGCACTGGTAGCTAGACCTTCTCATATATTACTGTAAAACAAAAATAATGTTTATAAGAAAATAGAACTGTTATGTAAATCTAAATTCTAATGCTAATGAATGTACTTATTTTGAAACGTTTATTTATGACACAAGCAATAAGGGAATAGAAAAAAATAGTTGGGGGTGACTTTGCTTCCACACCTAAACAGGAAAATGACAACAGTCATCAGATTTAGCAGGTGGAGTAACACAAAGATCTGTTTTAGTGGCTCAGTGTGGGGAACATGCTAACAGCTCACAATCATTTCTAATGTCAGCTACAGTCGATTTTCTTAGTGGACAGGCTGTGAGCCGCTAACCTGCCGCTACACACGGATCGAGTATCTGTTTAAAAATTATGGCCTTCCAGGTCATTTTAATTGGTACACTTGATAAATTGGTAGTTTATCAAGTGTCACTGAGAAGTCTTTACGTTACATCCTTCACTCCTTTCTCTGTCTGAAAATTCAGCAGCTGGACCTTTATCTAGCAATACACTGTGCAACAAACAAACACAAAATGCAGTTTGTAATAAAAGGTGTTTATTATTAAGGGGGGGATCCAAACTTACATGGACCTGTGTGAAAAACTGCTGCATTATCCAGAAATGGCTAAAACGTGGAACCTGACATGGAGGTCTGCTCCGGGGCCTCCTCCCAATGGGAGATACCCGGAAGCCTGGCCTTGGCCCTGGCTTGGCTACACCTAGAAATTCTGTCTATAAAAATTATGAACAGAATCAGTGACAAAGGGCAGCCTCGGCGGAGTCCAACACCCACTGGAACAAGTCCAACTTATTGCTGCCAATGTAAACAAAGCTCTTGGTTGTACAAGGACTGATTTTTTTCTCATAGTAATGGACAACACACCCAAGGTGAAACTCATCCCATTCTGCAACTCTGTAGGCCATTTATCTGCGTTCACACTTTTGTTTTTACTACATAATTCCATATGTGTTCATTCACTGTTTTGATGACTTTAGTGAGAATCTACAATGTAAATAGTCCTAAAAATTAAAGAAAAAAGTGTCTAAACTTTTTACTGGCAG